TACTTGAGTGCCAGAATTACAGTCATGAGCCACTACTCCTAGACAACTTGTAAAACACTTAAAAGAAAATGTTGATGCACATCTTAACCTGGAATCAGGCAATGATTTATTAAAAATGAGACTGAGCCAGGCGTTGGTGGCATAAGCCTTTAATCCCAGCACTTGGGAGGTAGAAGCAGGTGGGTCTCTGAGTTCAAGGCCAGCCTAGTCTACACATCAAGTCAGGTCAGCCATTACACATTATAACCCTATCTCAGAAAACCAAAAATATTCTGAGTTTAGGGCCAGCTTAGTCTATAAAGCGAGTTCCAAGGAAGCCAAGGCCACACAGAGAAACCCTGTCTCGAAAAAACCAAGAACCAATGCATGGAGGCTGCGTTGTGTCTGGAGTTACTGTAAAAGACGGTAACAGCAGGAGATTGTCGGAGCTCTGGCAGTCTTCCTCAGAAAGTCCGGGAAGCTGAAAGTCCCCAGATGGGTGGATATAGTCAAGTTGGCCAAACATAAAGAGCTTGCCCCTGTTGTTGTGGGCCCTGCCAGAGGAGCAGCAGGTTGCAGTTGAAGGGAATCCCCGGTGTCAGCCCAGCAGAAGGGAATCCCCTGATGGGTCCATCTCGTTTAGGCAAGGCCACGGGACTACAGATTCTGAAATGTCTTTTGCTTCTGCTGTGCCTCTTCATGTTTGCGGCGGCTCTCTTTCTCTGATATCTAGTGTGGTGTGAGTGGACGTGGGGAGATCTCCACTGCCTGTGATATAATGCGTTTATCTTTTGGAAACATCCTGTTCTACTGGGCATTTTTACCTGTGGATGTCAAGAATATGACCCCCTAAGCTGTACTGTCCAATTTGATAATAATAATGATAGCTTATACAGAGTTTTGATTAATAAAAATAAATTCAAGGATATGTTTTACAGTTGCATGGATAGTAAGTAGCTCAAGTTAATGACTAACAATTGAGTTCCAGTAGCCCAGCTAGTTTAAATTCTTTTAACCTTAATGTTGGGAGATATGTTCACAGGCCTTGGAGTGCATCACAGTTGAAACAAAGCTTTGAAGATAACAAAGTTAGACTAAGATGTTTTTGCTAAACAATTTTGAAGTGAAAAACCCAAGGAGACAATCTGAAGTTTTAGAAAGGCACAGGGATGAATGAGGAACTCCTTAAGGTCAGGGAACAAGAACAAAGCAGCTCAGTTACTCCTGCTGACACACTGCCCTTGCTAGGATTGGCTGATGACCAAAGGTGATGATTAATTCTTTATACCCATTTCTGTCCTCAATCTCCTGATGTAAAAAATTATTAATGAATGGATATGTGCCCACATGGAGCTGCCTGATTCATTCTCATATATAAAAATTTAGGTTTGTGGGCTGGAGAGATGGCTCAGAGGTTAAGAAACTGACTGCTGTTCCGGAGGTCCTAAGTTCAATTCCCAGCAACCACATAATGGCTCATACCCATCTATAATGAGATCTGGTGCCCAGAACACTAAATACATAATAAATAAATTAAAAAAAATTTAGGTTTGTGATTCCTTTAAGATTCCTTATAAGATTACCTTTCAAAATAAGTAACAAAGTAATTGGCCCTTCCTTTGTAACTGCAAAATGCAGCCTGCCAGTAAAAGACCTGCCACAAGATTAATCTGTAACAAGTTGCTTGAGTATGAATGTATGTGGGTTCCTGGGATAGTTTGTTTTTCACCTGTAATTAGTTATGTGAGGGAGGTGAAAAACCTGGGTTTTCCTATAATTATTCACTTGAAAAATGGAATGCAATTCTTTTGACTCTTATACTGCCTGTAAGATTCTTTTGGGATATAAAAGCTGTAGAACAACATGAGATAGAGAGAGAATAAAGAAGGAAACCATCAAGAGAGTTTGTGAGTGCCTTTTCCTGTAATCCCCCTCAGATAGAAAAGTTAAGCCTTGCCAACTCCATGGCTTCCTTGTACAGCCCTGTGCTGCTGGAGGCTGGCCCCCCAGACAGCAGTACCCTGTGGTTCTACACACAGGCTGTTTCCACAGCACAGTACCTGTACCTGTGTGGTGGTACCAGAGCTGGCTCCATGACCAAGATTTACAGAGGATGACAGAGAAACGTGTCAGACCTAGCCACTTCAGCAGAGGCTCTGAGAGTTTGGTCTGCTGCATCCTCCAAGCCCCGGAGGGGCTGAAAATGGTGGAAAAGGACCAAGATGGGGGCCACAATCTAACTCTTCAGGGACAGAGAGATCTGGACAGGATTGCCAGACAGGTGGCAGCTGCTAACAAGAAGTATTAGAACAAAGGATGCTGGGGAAAAAAAAAAAACAACAACAACAAGAAAACCAAAAAATATGATGGAGTTAGCCGTGGAGTTACTGTGTGATCCGCAGTTGTAATATGGTGGAGTTAGCTGTGGAGTTACTGTGTGATCCGCAGTTGTATTGCAGCATATGGTCACGGTTTTGTGCACAGTTGTTTATAGTCACATCACTCATAATACCCAAGATGAGTGATGGCTGAGCAGTTCATGTGACTCATAAATTGTGGTGCACACCTGCCACCCAGAACTCAAGTAGAGGCAGAGGATTGGGAATACAAGATTATCCTTGGTTTCATAGAGAGCTGGAAGCCAGCCTGTACTTGAGACCCTGCCTTGGGGAAACACTAAAAGAACTGTAGAAATGACTGAGAATTCGCGAGGTACAGGAGGCATCCGAAATTCAGTCTGGACTACATGAGAGTCACAAAAAAGGGTGAATGAGGCTAGTGGGATGGCTCAGTGGTTCAGAGCACTCAGTGAGCAGTCATGAGAAAGGACCTGAGCACCATTGTAACAAGCCAAGGGTGGTCTCAAACATATTAGTGCTTCTAACTGTGTGGGGGTTGCTAGGACTCGATGACTACTACCCTAAGGGAGTAAGGATCTCTCTCTCTCTCTCTCTCTCTCACACACACACACACACACACACACACACACACACAAACTCCTATACACAAGAGTTAGAAAAGCAGTTTCTAAAAATGGGTGTGGGAATGGATAAATGGCTGAGTGAACTGTCCTCTGCCCATATGATAAAATATTAGTTAACCAGGACAAGGAGCAAAGTACTCGTCCATGCTGTATTCCAGAATACCATGTATTATATAATTCACTTGTGCAAAAAGCCCCCTAAAAAAAGCATATATAGAGACAGATTGATGGTTGCTGGATGCAGGGAGAGCATGGACCAGCAACCAGTTAGCACAGGCTATGATGTGGAGTTAATGGCAGTCATTGCACAATGAATGTACTACAGACCATAGAACTTAAACACTTCAGAAGAGCGAACTAGGGGTTGGAAGATGGCTTGGGTGAGAATGCCTGTTTGCAAACATGAGAACCTGAGTAAAGCCCCTATGTGGTAATAGGAAGATGTGCAGCACATGGCAGGTACCAACCACCTGTGGGACATTGGGGAAGTGTGATCATGTTCATGCTTAGGACATTGGGGAAGTGTGATCATGTTCATGCTTAGGACATTGGGGAAGTGTGATCATGTTCATGCTTAGGACATTGGGGAAGTGTGATCATTTTCATGCTTAGGACATTAGGGAAGTATGACTCATGTTCATGCTTAGGCCCTGGATGAGCCACTAGGCACAGGAGGGTGAGTTTGCTTACAGACCTTCTGATCTTGAAGTTGGTGTTCTTCTTTCTTTTTTAAATAAATATTTAGGTCTGTTTTCCTATTTTGTGTGCATGAGTGTCTTGCATGAATGTCTGGTGCCTGAGAAGGTAGTGAACCTCCATGTGGGTGCTGAGAATTGGACCCAAGTCTTTTATTTATTTATTTATTTATTTATTTATTTATTTATTTATTAAAGATTTCTGTCTCTTCCCCACTGCCGCCTCCCATTTCCCTCCCCCAATCAAGTCCCCCTCCCTCGTCAGCCCAAAGAGCCATCAGGTGGACCCAAGTCTTTTGTAAGAATAAATGCTCTTTCCAGATACATCCTGGGGGGGGGGGGGAGAGAAAGAAAGAAAGAAAAAGAAAGAAAGAGTACTCTTAACCCCTGAGGCAACTCTTGAGCTCTGAAGTTGGTCTTTTTGTTTGTTTGTTTGTTTTGTGGGGTGGGGTTGAGACAGAAGGTTTCTCTGTAGCTTAAAGGACAGCTCTAGGGACTGAATCCAGATCTCCAGCGAGCACTCTTGCCCAAGGAGCCTTCTCACCATCCCCTTTTGTGTTTTTGTTTACTTGTTTAATTTTCTTATTCTCTCTGTGTGTAAGCACAAGTGTGGGCATGATGCCGCTGTACACACGGAGAGGACAGAGGACAACTTGCAGAAATCAGTTCTCTCCTTTCCTCATGGTTTCTAGGGATTACACTGAGGTAGTCGGGTTGCACAGCAATGGCCTTTACTGCCAAGACATCTCTGCTGTCTTGTTTTCTATGGAGTCTTTACATTGTTTGGGGCAGAATCTCCTGGACCCCAGGCTAGCCTCAAACTCAGTGCTCACTGTATAGCTGAGACTGACTTTGACCTTCTCGGTCCTCCTCACACTGAAGTGCTGGGGTGACAGGTGTGCATCATGGCATCTTTCCGACTGTGTTTGTTGAGACAAGATCTCACTATGCAGCCCTAGCTTGCCTGACCTCAGTCTCACAGAAAGCCATTCCTAACATTTCTGTTGTAACCCTGGCTAGCTTGGAACTCTCTATGTAGACTAGGCAGAGTGCAAACTAGGAGATCCACCAGTCTTTGCCTCCAGAGGACTGGAATTAAAGGCTCATGCCACCATGCCCAACTCCAAACGTTTCTTGATCCATTCAAGTTGACAATCAAAGTCCCCATCACAGACTGCACATTCCTATTTTAATGCTGCAAAAGTCAAAATGATGTGGCATCTTCGCCCTGTCTTTGCAGGGTGTGACCGATGCCACATTGGCTGGCAGGGCCTGGTTTCTTGGGAAGGAGGCCCCTGCTCCCCATGAGCTAACTTTCTCACCATGCCTCTGCTGCCTTTCAGAAAGCATGCCCTAAACTGCCATCGGATGAAGTCTGCCCTCTTCAGCGTGCTCTGCGAGATCAAGGAGAAGACAGGTAGGCTGCTCCAGGACTCTGTCTGGCTCCAGCCTCATGTGCTGCCCGTCTGCCCCTCACAGCACATGGTTCTGCCATCCTTCCAAAATTCAAACATCAGAATTTTATCCTAATTCAAGTGTCCAAAGTTATCCCCATGGAAGTCTTCTGCCTCTGCAAATACTTGTGTTTAAGAAGGTACACAGGGCCATGATGTCATCCAGGCCCAGGCTGCTGCATAGGCCAAATCTAGATCCATAGCACAACAGCAGCCAGGGTCTGAGCTGGTGTTCATGGCTCCTATTATCACCAAGAGCTGCACAGGTGCCTGGGATCTGGACAGCCTCCCGAGACCACATTGGTGTCCAAGGCCTTTCTGACACTGGGACCATAGTGATATTCAGGCCTGGGCTGCTGCCAAGGGCCATGTCTGGGTCTGTGGCCCTGGTGTAGTTAGGGTCTGTGATGATGTCCATGGCCCTGTTGCCACAGGGGGCCAGCCCCACTTTTCATTGCATGTTGAAATCCAAGGGCCATGCTGAGCCAGCTCCACTTTTCATTGGCCCTGGAAGAGCTGGTCCAGCCCCTCACTGGTCACTGCAGCAGGAGAACTGCCCCCACCCATGCCCACACCAAACTCAAGAGAGCTGGCCCTGATGGCATGGGCCCAGGAGAGCTGGCCCTGCCCCTCTCCTGATGGGGACCATCCCAGTGGCCCAGATCAATCAGCTCAGCTACCACCCAGACCCACATCCTGGGCCTTGGGTTGGCTCACTCTAATATCTACCCCATCTTTGACCTGCTGGAGTGTGTGAAGGGACTGGTTCTGTGGAACAAAACCCCAGAATCTCCATGACTCAGGACAACAGCATGAAGCTGAGAGGAGCTTCGGTGAGGGTCCAGTGATGATGGCATGCCCCATCTTACAAATAAATGTTGCATTAGGAGCGGCAGGGCTGCGTCCCTGGCACCCGGCCGCCCGCATGGCTAGCTTATGCCCAGAAATAATTACACGGAAACTGTATTCTTTCAAATACTGCCTGGCCCGGCTAGGTCCAGCTTCTTATTGGCTAGCTCTTACATATTGTTCTAACCCATTTCTAATATTCTGTATAGCCCATGAGTTGGCTTACCAGGGAGGATCTTAACCTGCGTCTGTCTGGAGCGGGAGAATCATGGCGACTCCTTCACTAAGCTTCTTTCTCCCAGAATTCTCTTCTGTCTACTCCGCCTACCTAATTTTCTGTCCTATGAGGGCTGAGGCAGTTTCTTTATTATAATTAACCAATGTCCTTCCTCCATCATTTCCCCTTTTTCTGTTTAAACAAAAAAAGAAGGCTTTAACTTAACATAGTAACATTATATATCACAAAACAGTTATCAAGTAAGAATTACAGTTATAATATTTATATCTATTTTATCTTTTATCATAACTAAGGAAAAGTATAACTATTCATTCTTCAATTCCATCAAAGACTCCAGAAGGATATAATATTACCTATCAAACAAGAAATAAGAAAACTCTAGAAATGACAGAGACATCTCGCTGCCTGGACAGTCACCCAAAGTTCCTCTGTACCGTTGGGGCATCCATCTTCGGCCTACAGGCCCATGGTATCCAGAGACATTTCCATGAAGCAGGAAATTTCAAAGACAGTTCAGTCATTTTCTGCTGTGTCCTGCAGAATGTCTCGCAGACTCTTTCATGAATCAGGAACCCCGAAAGACCATCTCACCTTTAGGCAAGTTCAGCAGTCCTCTCTCTGCGGGTTCTCTGTGTCCAGTTTATGCAACAGTCCAGGCAAGAGCAGTTTCTTGCCCAAATGGCTATCAAACTCCATAAGGATCCTCTTCGATGCCCATCTTCCTCTCGAAGTAGATTGGTGCTGCCAGGAGCAGACGTGTCTCCTTGTCATGAAAAGTCCTAAGTTATTAAAACATTTAAAATGCCATATTCTACAGTCTTTGAAAGATATGAAGAATGCCTATCTAACTGAAATATATCTTTATGTATCTAGAAAATCTAACTAACATGACTACAAGCTTGACTATTATCCATTAACAACCTATATTTCCTAATTATACATTACATTTTAAATGAACTACATACACAATACTTGCAAGCAGGCAGATCTCATGTACATAGACATGTGTGTAGGTAAAACACCAATATACATATATCAAGGAAAGTATTGATGCTAACCATGGATCTACACACACAGATGAAAGTGTACCGACACACATTGTACATATTCTATATACACATACATGTGCAAAGAAAAAGCCAAGCAGGGCAGCACAGTCCTATGGTCAGTTCAGGCAGGAAATGTCTATTCTGTCATCCAGAATAGTATGGTTTTGTACAGTAGGCACTGGAGTTTTTAATTTTCTTGGTGAGACATATCCTCCACAGTGACTGGGAATGACTGGACCACGTTTGACCTGTTTTAAGGGGACACAGTCTATCGTGGAAAAGCTTGGTGGCAGCAGTGACTCTGGGCTGTAGAGAGGGAGTGTCTCCCCTTCCCAAATCAGCATTGCTAGCTGTGGGCTCTGTGCTCAGACACAACAGCCTGAACCAAGCCGGGTGGTGGTCGCACACGCCTTTAATCCCAGCACTTGGGAGGCGGATCTTTGTGATCTCTGTGAGTTTGAGGCTAGCCTGGTCTACAGAGCAAAATCCAGGACAGCCAGGGTTACACAGAGAAACCCTGTCTCAGGAAAAAAAATTAAGTTTTAAAATTAGAATGCAATTTCATCATTTTCTCCTCCCTCTCCTCCACCCTTCCTGTGCACTCATCCTCCTCTCTCAAATTCATGATGTCTTCAAATCATTGTGAGAGAGAGAGTGTGTGTGTCTGTCTGTCTACCTATCTCTCAACGGTTGACTGCGTGTCGTTCTTCATCTAGGGTTGGGATCCTGTGGGATCTCCACACGTTAACACATCTATTGGTAAAGTCCTGTTTAAGCAGCCATATTATCATGGTCTCATAGGTGAGGCTTCCCTGTTCTTTGTAGGACACACATTCTACAGGAAGGCTTCCTGGTCTCCTGGCTCTTACAATCTACCCTTGTTCTTCAGTGTGGGGTTCTGTGTCAGTTGGGCTGGACACCTTTTGATCAGTGTTCTCTTCATTTGACCAGCTTTTTATAATGCTATCTCTTCACTGAGGGGTGAGAGCTGCAGTTATCAGGCTGGGCCCTGGCACTAAAAGAGTTGTCCCCAAAGCAAGGCGGGGACATCTCAGTGAGTCTCAGTCCTGTTGTGTCAGGGTTGGCTACAGGTGTCACTCATGTTGATGTGGGAAGTGGGAGCCCTTAGAGCTGGCCTATGACTACTATCTCTCTACCTCTGAAGGCATTCTTCTTTACTGCCAGAAGGTTCTCTACCTCACATCCTCTCTCAGCCCAGCTGCACCTGTGTGCAGAGAACCATTGGGGATGGTCATGGGGATGTACATGTCATTGCTGATGGAGCATTGCTGCTTCTGTGGGGCCTCTCAGAACATAGATCTCAGGAGTATCTGTGGGCGTTCCACCACCCTCAATGTAAGTGTTACACAGCTTTCCTTTCTGTCTGGTGTGTGTGCATGCAGCGTGTAAGTACATATGTACACATGTTATATGTGGAAGCCAAGGTTAGTGTCACAATGTCTTTTTCTATTACTCTCCATTTTATAGTTTGAGGCAGTCTCTCATTGGAACTGGAGCTCCCTAACTGGACTAGACTGGCTGGCCAGCAGGCCCTTCCTGTCTCTCCTGCGCTTGAATTGCAGGGACGGTCCTTGGGTTTTTTATGTAGTTGTTGGGAATCAAATTCATGTCCTCATCTCCTCAGCTCCTCCAGTCTGTTTATCTAATTCTGAGGAGCAGATAATGTGGGCCCCAGAAAATGAGAGCATGGAAGGTAGGCTTTCTTAGGCCCCTGACCTACATCTTCTTGGTGACAGCTCCTTGGCTTCAAGCAGAGCGCCCTGCACTGCCAGTGGCGCTGCTGCTTCAGTGTTGTGTGGTGGTCCGACATGCACATGAGCCCCAAGGCTTGTGAGCTGAGAGGACTTAGCATCCTACCCCCACACATGGCCACATGGCTGTCCTCTGGGTACAGTTGACAGCCACATGCTCTTTAGTGTTCTCAAAGTGTGTCCTGTTGACCCATCTCACCTTGTGCCATCAGCACTGAATTCTGAGGCATGCTGTGCCACCCGTGCCCTCTGCTCCCTTTGTGGACTGCCCACTGCCCACAACAAATTGTCCCTGTTACCATGTTCTCAGATATATAGCCTCTGGGGCTTGGTGCTTGTTTGTATAATTAATTACAAGGTTTCTCTCTGTAGCCCTGGATGTCCTGGAACTCACTCTGTAGACCAGGCTGGCCTCTGCCTTCGAGGGCTGGGATTAAAGATGTGCACCATCACCTTGTAGTTTTGATATTGTTTTGAGCTGGATCTCCTTATACAACCCTGGCCATCAGAGTCTCACTGTGTAGACCAGGCTTCTGGACTGGAGCTGGAGCTCGGCTGGTAGAATGCTTGCTTGGCACTCAGGAGCCTTGTATGCTGGCACACAGTCATCCAGCCCTCGGGGAATCAAGAGTTCAAGACTGGCCCAGCATTTGAGAGGCAGAGGCAGGCAAATCTCTAGAGTTCAAGGCCAGCCTGGTCTACAGAGGAGGTTCCAGAACAGCCCTGGCTATACAGGAAAACCTTGTCTCAAAAAAACAAAAACAAAAAACCAACAACAACAACAACAAAAAGAGTTCAGTGTTGTCTACATAGCACATTCAAGGAGACCAGCCTTTACTCTGTGAGACTCTTGTGTCATATGGATATTCACACCTGATCCCTGCCCTGGGGAGGTGGAAGCAGGAGAATAAAGAGTTCAAGACTGGCCAGGTGCGCCTTTAATCCCAGCACAAGGGAGACAGAGGCAGGTGGACCTCTGTGAGTGTGAGGCCAGCCTGGTCTACATACTGAGCTCCAGGACAACCAAAGCTACATAATAGAGAGACTCTGTCTCAAAGAAAAAAAGAGTTAGTTCAAGACTGACCTGGGTTACAAACCAAGGCCCTGTCTCAAAAATAACCAAGTGTCCAGTAATCCCAAAATGGGAGAGGCAGGCAGACTTGGGAGTTCAAGGTCAGCCGGGTCTACGTAGTGAGCCTGAGCTAAATGAGACCCAGAAACACGAAGATACTTTTTCATGGCTGTAGTCTTGACAAGCTGTCACTTCTGATGCTCCTTTCACCCACTTAGCTGAAGGAGGAACCAGGTGGTGCAGGCATGGGCATGTCAGCAGGGCACCCCTGTGCGTCAGACAGTTCCCATGGGGACAGATCAGTGTGCCAGAACACTGTAACCCTTGTCTTCACCCTATATACCCCGGACTTTTGGTGGCTCACGTGCAGGTAGCCCCTGGAGGGTGGCAGGCTCAGCCTGAGCCACACATTCTTGCTGGGCATGCCGTCGAGCCACAGGCTCGGGTAGCTGAACTGGGCATACTTTCAGTTATAGTGTGGCAGGGGGAATGACAGATTCGTACTCAAGCAAAGAAAGTGTTGAAGCCTCCTGTGAGCTGACAACTGCAGGGTAGCCATGATGCCACAGTAAGGGGGAAGTGCAAGCTGGGGGCACCATTGGCCCCCCCTTCCAGGACTTGAGTAAGGCCAGCAGGAGAGCAAGGGATTCTCAGTTCTGCTCCACCAAGAAAAGCATTTTCTCCATTATCCTGACCTAATGCCCACAGCCCACTGGCCAGGGAGCTGTCCTTCCATTCAGAGGCAAGGTATGTCATAATGAGAGACACAGGACACAGGTCTCTAAGTTGAGAGATAGGCGTTTGTGTACATGTATGTCTGTGCACCTTGTACATGCCTGGTACCCAAAGGAACCAAAAGAGGGCATTGGATCCCCTGGAATTGGAGCTGCACTGTGGATGCTGAGAACTGAACCTCTGCGAGCTGCGTCTTCCCTCTAGTCCTGTTTACTTTTGTTTGTTTGATTTTTGAGACAGGGTTTCTCTGTGTAGCCTTGGCTGTCCTGGGACTCCCTCTGTAGACCAGGCTGGGCTCGAACTCATAGATCTGCCTGCCTCTGCCCCCAAGTGCTAGGTTTAAAGGTGTGCCCACCATCACCTGACTTATTTTTCATTTTATGTGTATAAGTATTTGCCTGGATATATGTCTGTACCAGAGGTGTGTGGTGTAGGAAATACAGACACAAGCCAGGTCACTAGCACCTGATCAAGCCTTTCCTTTTCTGCTTTATAGGTGTGCTGCCCTCCACACATACATGGACACATGGTCACATACACTCATGCACACTGACACAGATGCAAGCATGCATATACACACAGGGACATATGCATGTACAGACACATTAGAGATGACATAACTCACAAAACAATCCCACAGCACTTCAGAATTATGAATAATAAAAGGCTTATTTATTTAAGGGGAAAACTTACAGATTGCTGTCCTAGACAACAGCCCGCTGCGCGAACAGGAACAGAGGCTAGCTGCCGGAAGCAGGAGCCCGAAGCAAGAGAGCAGATGTATGTTTACCTCTGCTTTTACACTATAAGAGACCATGCCCAAGTGTGCACACATAGAGGACATAGACACGTGGACACATAGCAGAGCCCATAAGTGCAGTACTGTGCAATCCCAGTGGTAGGCCATTTATCTTTAATACTTTCTCACACTATTTACTTTGGAGGAGGGCAGGGAGAAGCACATGTAGCTCAGAGTTGCAGGATTTGATTCTCCTATTTCAAGTCAACATGCTTGGCCGCAAGCTCCTTTACCCACTGAGCCCTCTCACCAGCCCTGCACCTGCCTTTTCTTGACACCAGGCCCAGAATGCCCCTCCCAGCACTTCAGCGTTCCTACCCAGCCCTGGCTGTGTTCTCACGTGGCTGTCAGGTTCCGGCCACATGTGCTGCACTGTCCTGGCGTCCTCTGCATGACCAGGACTGTGCTCCTGAAGACGACATTTGGGTCAGTGTTCCAGTAGGTTCCTAGGTGTCTCTGATCCAGTGTGATATTAAAGGGACTAGAGATGGTTTGGAGGTTTAGAGTGTTTCCTGCTCTTGCAGAGACTGAGTTGAGTTCACAGCACCTGCACTGACTGGGCAGCTTACAGCTGCCTGTGACGCTGGGTATGGGGATCTGATGCCCCAGCCTGGACTCCTAGGAGATCTGCACACACGCAGGCGCACATGTATACATAATTCAAATGTTTTTAAGTGATGCCCAGCCATGGTTCCAGTGCCACTTGGCCCTGGCTACTTTTCTCTGCAGAGAACTCATCTGCCTGTCTTCTTCATCTAGCCACGAGCATCCGGCATGAGGAAGAGGATCCTCCCGACGCTCAGCTCCTGAGGCTGGATAATATGCTGCTGGCTGAGGGTGTGTCCAGGCCAGAGAAGAGAGGACGAGGAGCAGCAGCAGGCACCACAGCAACACCAGGTGGCTGTCCAAATGGCAATAGCATTGAGCACTCAGACTACAGGGCCAAGCTGTCCCAGATCCGACAGATTTACCACTCTGAGCTAGAGAAGTATGAACAGGTGATCTTTCTGCACGCAAGAGTTTCTCATATGAATGTGCACTGGCCACAGTCGGATGTGGACGCTAACCCCCTCCTCTGTGGCAGAGCAGGGACAGCCCACTGTAGTCTGTCACTGCAGAGACGGCTGAAAGCCCTTTCCCTCACTCTTCAGAAACAGACCTGTGTGTGGGCTGTGGGGGTGGCAGATGTGGTCAGCTGTGGAGCTTACTGCCCCCGGCTGCTTAGTCAGAGGCTGGCCCATCTTCTCCCATCCCAGGCCTGCCGTGAGTTCACCACACATGTCACCAACCTTCTTCGGGAACAGAGCAGGGTGAGGCCTGTGTCCTCCAAGGAGATGGAGCACATGGTGGGTGTCATCCACAGCAAGTTCAGTGCCATCCAGAGGCAGCTCAAGCAGAGCACCTGTGAGGCTGTCATGACCCTGCGCTCACGGCTCCTGGATGCCAGGTCAGGGCTACATGCCGCCGGGTTCCCCAAGGGTTGGTTCTTAGGACTTCTAAGCAGGATCAGTGCTACCTCTGGTGTCTGCCTTGTACTGTTTTAAGATTGAACTGGGGACTTTGTTCTCCCTACCACTGAGCCCCACCCCAGCCCTGTCTTGGATTTAAATCCATGCAGAGGTTCTCCAGCCAGGCCTCACACACCTTCCCTGGGAGAAGACCCAAAGTACTAACTGCTGGTTTGTTTTAACCTGTGTGTGAATGGCCCAACGTGGGCGTCAGAAGACAACCTCGGGTATTGGTCTTCAGCTCTCACAATGTCTGATGCTTCCCACTGTGGATGCCAGGCTGGACAGGCTGGAGTGTTCTGTGTGCTGCCCGTCTTGCCACAGGAGCACTGCAGCCGCTGACAAATATGGCTCAGACTCAGGTGCCCATCACCCACTGTGGCGTCTCTGGAGCCCCGCGTGGCTGTTCTCAAAACTGCAGAAGATCAGGAACGAGAGGTGGCTCAGCCAGTAAGGTGTTGGCCGTGCAAACAGAAAGACCTAGTTCTGTGAACCTAACACCCGCATAACAAGCAGGTGTGGGCCAGCAAGATGACTCCATGGGTAAAAGAACTTGTTGCAAGAGTCTCGAGACCTGAGTTAGATTCCCAGGATGATGAGAAGCTGTCAAGTGTGAGAGCGGCAGAGGAGTGACAAGCAATGGCTGGGACCAGGAGGCCTTGCTTAAGTGGTACTTGGGCTAAACTGGTTTCTTAAGAAGTGTAGCCTCCTGTATACTGTTCACAGGGGGGAAATGGCCAGGTTTAGCAGAGAGCTAAATCAGACAGTTTTGGCAAAGGGAACATGGGACACCTCAGACAGATGCTTAATTAACCAAAGCCCAAGAGGAAATAGTGTGTCACCAGAAGCTGCCACCTTGACTCCAGCATCAGATTGGCATTTCCAAGTCCACTCCTGGACAAGGACACGGAACTATTTATTGTTCCCTTTGTTCTTTCATCAGGGTCTCTGAGAAAGTCTTGGATTGGTCTGGTTCTCCACACCAGAAGCCATGATGGACAGGGGGAACCAACTGCCAAAAAGTTGTCTCCTGACCTCTCCCTATCTGCACAGACACACACAGACACAGGCACACACACACACAGACAGGCACACACAAACACACAGACAGGCACACACAAACACACATACACAGACACACATACACAGACACACAGACAGACACACATACACAGACAGACACACAGACAGGCACACATACACAGGCACACAGACAGACACACATACACAGGCACACAGACAGACACATAGACAGACACACATACACAGGCACACACACACATATACTAATAAAGCTGCTGCAGCTAGGCACTGAAAATGTGGAGATGGGCGGATCCCCGGGGCTTGCTGATCCGCCAGTCCAGCCAGATCAGTGAGAGACTAGTGGAGAGTGACAGAGGAGGGCACAGGACATCAACCTTGGCCTTCACATGCATACACACGCGCACGCGCGCGCACACACACATAGACTGCCAGGAGATATGGATGTGAGGGCCATGGCAAACACCGCAGACAGAGGCTCTCTGTCTGCAGGCGGAAGCGGCGGAACTTCAGCAAGCAGGCCACTGAAGTGCTGAATGAATATTTCTACTCCCATTTGAGCAACCCTTACCCCAGCGAAGAGACCAAAGAAGAACTGGCCAGGAAGGGCGGTATCACGGTGTCCCAGGTGAGCCTTCCTGCCCCTGGAAGAAGATAAGTCTTATGAGGAAGACTTTAGATGACATTACCTAATGTCGAGGGAGGACTCCTGGGGACATTATTTAATATGGGGGGAGGACTCCTGAGGAAGTTACCTAATTGTGGGAGCACTCCTTGGGGAAGTTACTTAATGTATGGGAGGACTCAGAGAAGTTACATAATGTGTGGCACTGGCCATGTGTGTCAGCCTGGCATGGCTTGCACTGAGAATTAGAACATTGGTGGGGACTCTGCTCTCTCTCCTGGGAGGAAGATATGAGAGCACCATGGCAAGATGTGGAGTCTCTGGTGCTGGTATGAGTTCGAGGCTCTATAGAGCCATGTGCTTGCTGCAGGAGCGATGTGTGGCGTGAGTTCCCTTGGGTTGTGTGGTGGAGTGATTCCTGTCTCTGTGGCTTGGCACTTGACCACCATTGTCTTTCTTGGAATTGGAGGCAAAGGAGAGCATGAGCAAAGGCCAGCATGCCGAGAGAACATTCGTGAAGCCTTGCGGGTGAGCTTAGGCAGCAGGCAGGCAGTGTAGGCAGTATGACTGCAGAGGCAGGTCTGGCAAGGCCACAGGCCACACAGGCACAGCTACCCTGTCTCTGTCACGCCAGGAACGAAGGCCACTGGCACATTCGTCACCACAGCCCTCAGACATGCCCTGGTCCTCCTTGCTTCACCATTGGAAAGGTTGTGTACCCCCTTAGGTATCATCCTCAGCCCTTAACCCAGGCTGCTCAAGTCTCTGTGCCAGTGGCCCAGGGTCACGCAGAGGACCCAGGCACAACTGTTTTTAATGGGGTTGCTGTAGTGTCCTCAGAGCAAGACCAGAGCCAAGGGAAGGACCTGCACCTCTGCTTGACGTGTAAGCCTGGCTTGCTGCTTGGGCAGCAGGGACATTGTAGTAGACCAACACCATTCACTGCTGTGAAGAGGCACCACGGCTGCTGCAACTTCTCTAAGAGAGAACTTTTTCCTGGGGCTGCTTACAGTTTAGAGGGTGTGTCCATTTCAGCTATCACGGTGGGAAGTGTGAGAGCATGTAGGTAGACATGGTGCTGGAGAAGGAGCTAGCAGACATGAATGTCACACTAGGCCTAGCTTGAGCATCTGAGACCTCAAAACCACCCACAATGACACACTTCCTCCAAGTGACCTAATAATGTCACTCCCTGTGGGCCAAGCACTCAAACACAGAAGTATATGTGGACCATTCGTATTCAAACCACCACAGACAGTGTGAGAAGCAGGCAGATCCACCCCAACCCTACTCCCTCACCCCTGTGCTCCCTGTGTCCTCCAAGGAGCAGAGTCAACAGGTTTTAAAGGCCTTATCACGTTTCAGGGGCTCTCCTTTTGGATGATATGGGCCCTAAGGAGTGCCCAGAACAACAGTTGTATGCTAGAAGCTCCACCCCACTTTGTCAAACCCATGAGATATTAGGACCCACTAAAGTGGCCTGCCATTAGTTGAAGTGAGGTTCTGAATTTGGGGTGCAGGTGAGTTGGTTACGAGGTGTGGTGTGCCTCAGGAGAAGTCAGGAGGGAGGAGAGACTTTTAGGGCAGGAGGCGTTTTCTATTGATGTCAGGGATGTCTTCAAGACAGGATCACCTCAAGCTGAGGAAACCCAAGGGGAGATGGACCAAGGAGCTGAACTGAGGGTAGGGGTGAGTCTTCAAATGGAACCCCTAGAACTGATTCCATAGCTGCTCCTCCAGGGAGGTGGGGTCTCCCTGTGGGAAGCCTTTTGTTCCCACTTAGCAGTGTCTGAAACCCCTGACTCATCCAGACTGAGACTCCACTCCTGTCTAAGCTGCGTACAGGAAATAGCCTGTGTCCCAGCTGTGCAGGAAGGTCACTGCACCCAGGGACCCAGTGGCGCTGAGTAACACAGAGCCTTGTCTCCAAAAGGAAATTTGGGGCTGGGACTGTTGGTACAGCCCTTTGGTCCCAGCACTCGGGAGGCAGAAGCAGGCGGATCTCTGTGATTTCGAGGTCAGCCAAGGCTACACAGAGAGACTCTGTCTAGAAAAAGAAGAGGAGGAAGAAGAGGAATGAAGGAAAGAAGGAACAAGGAGATGGGAGGAGGAGGAGAAAGTAGTTTTGAAGTGAGTTGGAGAGCTGATCAGTTTCAAGAGCACTAGGAAGATCTCAGCACCATGCAGTTCACACCATCTGAGTCCAGTCCCAGGATAACCAATGCCCTCTTCCCTCCTCTAGGGCACCAGCCATGCACATGGTATACATATACACACACTCAGGCAAAGCACACATGTTCATAAAATATGAAATAATCTTACAAAGAAAAAGCAGTAAGCATGAGATGTAGCCTCAGCACCTTCCAAGCCTGTGAATAAGATGGTCACTCTTCTTTCACAACAGAGAGCTATGCTGTTCTGGAAACTGCAGTTATTCGGGGCCTCTTTCCTGTTTTGTTAAGTTAGGTTATATTTTGGTTTTGAACCAGATCTCACTCTAGCTCAGCCTGACCTGGAACTCATTATGTTGCCCAGTATGGCCTCGAATTCACAGTAATCCTCCTGCTTCAGCCTCCCCACTCTAGGATTACAGGTGTGAGCCATCAAGCTGAGCGTCTTTTATTGTAGTGATAGTTATTATTTTTATATTTATGTATTTATTTCTTTAACTGTGTGTGTGTGTGTGTGTGTGTGTGTGTGTACCCCATGCGGTAATTCTTATGCCTATCACTGCAGGATGACAACTTTTGCAGTTGTTTCTCTCCTTTCTCCATGTGGGTCCTAGGAATTGAACTAAGGTTCAGTTAAACTAAGGCAGCAAGCACCTTTACCTAGTAAGCCTTCTCGCCAGCCCCCAACTTCTTTTTGTTTGTTTGTTTGTTGTTGTTTTAGTATGGTTTTGGCTTTTTGAGACAAGGTTTCTCTGTGTAGCCCTGGCTGTTCTAGAACTTGTTCTGTAGACCAAGCTGGCCTTGAACTCACAGAGATCCCCCTGTCTCTGCCTCCCAAGTGCTGGTATTAAAGGTGTGTGCCACCACCACAGCCACCACCAACACCCAGCAAGCATGGCCCACCCCAGGACAGCATCCATTATCTATTCCCAGGTCTCTAACTGGTTTGGCAACAAAAGAATCCGGTACAAAAAGAACACAGGGAAGTTTCAGGAAGAGGCCACCATGTACACTGAGAAAACATCCACAGCCACCAAGGCCCAGGGCCCAGGGGGACAGCCCAGCCCAGGTGACAAGGCCATGGCCCTCCTCGACTGTAAGCTCTCTTTTCTGTAAGCGCTCTTACGAGAGCGTCCTCTTAACCTCTAGGGCCACTGCCACCCACACAGGCCTGGGGGATGAGCAGGCAGTTAGATGCTCCAGGGAGTCAGATCTAGACTCTTTTGTGATGAGGGCCTGGGCAATGGCCACCCAGAAATCCCTATGACTGCTGGCCCACCTTCTGCTGTGATTCCCACCCCACCCCCACCCCATCATCCCCCACCCCACCACGCTGGCCTGACTCCACCTACTTCTCATAGGTTCCTGTGGCCCCTTTCCCCTGACCAGTGGAGGTGACATGGTTCTCACCCTGCAGACCCTGGCCTTCCTTCAGCCCCCACCTGGGGGAGTCTACCTCCAGCCCCCGGTGAGTCAGCTGCAGCCACCCGTAGACCCATCTGGAGCTTTGAGGAAGTGGAAGAACCCTGATGCCTCTCTCGGAAAGAAGACCCCAAGGAAAAGTGGGGTCATCTAACATCTGGACTTAGACCTACCTGTCACTAGGGACTGGAGACCTGGGGGGGGGGGGTTTCACCCTGGAAGGGCAGCATCTGCCAGGCTGTGGTTTGGTAACTGGGGTCTAGACAGTCAAGAGCCTCAAGAGCTTTGTCTCGGAGTGTCCCTGAGTCCTTTTTAGGCCCTGTAACCTCCCAGTCTGTCCTGAGGGTCTGGCTGAAGCCTCCCCTCAAGGACTTGTGAGTGCACCACATAAGCAGAGTGAAGCCTGGCGTGGTGGTACTGGCCATGGCCCCATGAGTCCCATGGGCTTCCCAGAAGCCCCCTCAGAACCAACCCTGGAGCTCAGGACAGTGGCAGGCCTGGCTGACTCTTGCCCTGCCTGACACCACCATGAGTCCCAGCCTAACACAAGCTGCAAGCTGCAAAGCAGTCTGGGCCTGCTTACATACCTGGAGCTAAGGTGTTCCTCAACAGAACTGGCCGGCAGGGGTGAGGGAGGAATTAGAGCGAGACAATAACCTGCCCTTCCCTGAACCAGCACACCTGGTTGTCAATCATACCACTGAGTGGAGCATCCCACCTGAGCCTTGTTGGAGGGAGGCCACTTGTTGGTTCCCGGCAGCTTGGTAGGTAGCTCAGACCTGAAATAATCACACAGAAACCATATTATTTAAATCACTGCTTGGCCTATTAGCTCTAGCTTCTTATTGGCTAACTCTTATATTAATTTAACCCATTTCTAGTAATCTATGTATTGTCACGAGGCTGTGGTTTACTGGGTAAAGTTCTGGCGTCGATGTCCAGTGGGGCTACATGGCTTCTCTTTGACTCTACCTCCTTTCTTCCAGCATTTAGTTTTCTCTGCCTATCTAAGTTCTGCCCTATCAACAGGCCAAGGCAGTTTCTTTATTCATTAATGGTAATCACAGCACACAGAGGGGACTCCCACATCACCTCCCCTTTTCTGTTTAAATAAAAGTTTTAACTTTAACATAGTAAAATTACATATCTACTTTATCTTTTATAATAACTAAGGAAAACTATAACTATAAATTCTTCAACTCCATCAAAGACTCCAGAAGGATATAATATTACCTAAGTAAACAGGAAGTACATTGTAAGCAGCTTCTAAAACTCTAGAATTGACAGAGACATCTTGCTGCCTGGACAGTCACCCAAAGTTCTTCTGTACCACTGGGGCATCCATCTTTAGCCTGCAGGTCAATAGTATCCATACTATGCATGAAGCAGGAAATTTGAAGATCTGTTCTGCCTTGCAATGGCAAAGTCCACCAGTTGCTTTCTTCTGTGTCCTGCAGAATGTCTCGCAGACTCATTCATGAAGCAGGAACTCCAAAGGATCATCTCATCTTTAGGCAAATTCAGCAGTCATTTCTCTGCAGGTCCTGCATGTCCAATTCATCAAGTAACCCAGGCAAGAGAAGTTTCTTGCCCGAATGGCTAGCAAACTCCATAAGGAGCCTCTTTGATGTCCATCTTCCTCTTAAAGTTACTGGTGCTGCCAGGAGCATATGTGTCTCACCATCATGAAAAGTCCTAAATTCTTAAATATTTTAAATGCCATATTCTGTAGTCTTTGAAAGGTCTGAAGAATATCTATTTGAAATACATCTCTGTACATCTAGAAAATCTGACTAACATGACCACAAGCTTGACTATTACAGATGACTATCTATTGACCTTATTTCTTACTTATACATTACTTTTTTAAATAAGCTGTACAAACATACCTTAATCAAAATCAGAAATACATATACACAGTATAACAAAATTGACCTTAAATTTGTATCAATAAACTAAGATCCATACCAATGCAAATCTCTATAGCACATCCTTCTTTAAATGTAAATAAACTTTTATAAACAATATTTGGGAATATGGGTGTAGTTTTCTCCAAACTGCTCCCTGCTGTTTATTGAGTGAAATGATTTTTTTTTAGGATGTTCATGGTGACCTTTCAGGGAGTCTTGGTCCATCAAACCATATTAATCTGGAAGCAATGCATAGGTTCTCATCCTCTGTGGAAACAAAAAAAGACCGACCCTCTTTTCCAAAGCAAAATATCCTTAGACTCAAATTTTGAATTCAAAATACCTTTGAAACATATATGTTAGCTTAGCTTAGCAGTCTCCAGAATCAAATATCTCTCTGCAGTCAAAAAAGTCAAAGATAACACAATAATATACATAATCCAGACTCTGTGAATTTTCCATCTTTATGTGGCTTGTTTTTACTTTATTACTTTTTCTACAAGTTAATTTTTTTATTATCTTTGTTCCTTTAATTTATGACTGTCTGTACTCTGTCTCTTTAAAGACTTTTATTTTTTAAAAAACCATTTACTTTTTATAATTCTCTGTATTCTTTTTTTTCTCTCTCCCAAGCCTATGTACACTCATCCAACACTGTGACCCATTTAGAGGTCTTTTATGTCTGAATGTGTCCTATTGTGTATCTGTAATTCTTTACTGTCCAGGAGCGCTTCTTAAAATGCTAAGCGCTTCTTATGAACTTAAGCTGCTGCATTGCTAGGGGAAATATGGCACCGCCTGCTTGCCCTGCCCAGTCCAGCACTGTGGAGCTGTTTGCTGCCTCTGAGGGCCATGCTCACAGCCCCACAGCCAGTCTGTGCTGCAGTCTGTTCACGGACCCCAGTCAAATGTTCGGTAGCCGGACCTCCAGAAAGAGGGAGAGTCCACGCTGGCAGCACTACCCAGGAAGCTGTCGTTTTAAAATGGCTTTTTTTTCTGCTTCCATTGAATCAGGAAAACCACTCTTAAAGGAGCCGTGGCACACCACCAGCAAACAGCAGGAAGCAGTGTTAAACTCTGTATTTTTGTGCCTAGAATTCCTTTTCAAGCTCGCTCAGGTTTTTAAGTGGATTTTAGTTTGCCACATTGGCGCCGATTTGGAGGAGAGAGCCGCTTGCTGGTTCCCGCTGCCCAGAACCGAAATAATCACACAGAAAACTATTAATTAAATCACTGCTTGGCCCAAGCAGCTCTAGCTTCTTATTGGCTAACTCTTATTGGCTTCTTATTGGCTAACTCTTATTGGCTAACTCTTATTGGCTAACTCTTATTGGCTTCTTATTGGCTAACTCTTATATCTTAATTTAACCCATTTCTAGTAATCTGTGTATTGTCACGAGGCTGTGGTTTAGTGGGTAAAGTTCTGGCGTTGGTGTCCAGTGGGGCTCCATGGCTTCTCCTTGACTCCACCTCCTTCCTCCCAGCATTCAGTTTAGTTTTCCCCACCTATCTAAGTTCTGCCCTGTCAACAGGCCAAGGCAGTTTCTTTATTCACAGTATACAGGGGACTCCCACAGATCCTCCTTTAATTTTCAGCTAAAATATGATCCAGGCAGATCCTTTGTTTGTTTGTTTGTTTGTTTGTGACAGGGTCTCTCCATAACCCTGACTTCCTGAAACTCACTATGTAGACCAGGATATTCTCAAGTTCACAGAGGTCCTCCTGACTCTTCCTCCTGAAGGCTGAGATTAAAGTAATACACCATCATGCCAGGCCCAAGTCAACACTTCCCCTGTTCACGTGGCTCCTCTTGGAGGTCACTCTAGCAGCATGGTCGCCGTCCATTCCCTACTGCTTTCAGCACATGCCTGCCACACCTGCTCTGCTTGGTACTGTGTGTGAGCACGGTGTCCCTAGCTCAGCACACCTATCCAGCTGTCCTCAGACAGATGAGCCCCACTGTGAGGAAGGGCTCTGGTCACCCATGAGCCATGGCTCTCTCAGAGGCCGCTGTGGCTAGACTCTTGGTTCTGACATCCCTTGAGGCATTTCATGGAGGGGTAGGGGCTCAGTGCCCAGCTCTTTCTGGAACTCGTGTGGTAAGAAGTTGTAAGTGTCCTTGGGGATCAAGGACTAGGATGTCACGTGTTCTCACTCTCACGCTTCCTTTCCAGGCCCACGGAAGCTGGCAGAGGGCCACCACTCCACAGTCAGCCTCACCACCTGCTGGAGATTCTGGCAGCTTCAACTCAGATGTGTCTAATTAAGTTTTGGGACCCTGGTTGGGTGCCATGAGTGACTGGCCCTGTATTCTGCCAATTACCTCAGAAGCCCTGGCTGTGGCGATACCCTTGGCCTGGCTGCTCACCTCCACCTTGGCACAATTATTTTAACCAACAATTTGTTGGTTTATTGTGGATCATTCGTCTCAGGCTTCCTTCCAAGCCACTCCATTAAAGTTTTTGACTTGTCTGCATTTTGACTTCCAGTGTTTTCAATCTGGGCTTGTCTAGGTGACAGGTGGCAACCTTGATGCCATCACCAACTCTAACACTTCCTGGGTGCAGTGGCATGGTCCCTGCTCCAGTCAGAACTGGTTTGTATTTGTTTGTTTCTGCTAAAAAAAGATGTTGGGGTGCTGAGCTTCTGACCATGGCCCTCTACCCCCTGAAGCCTTCCTTGTCCCTTCTCACAGCCTTCATCTGGCCTGTCCCTTGTCGATCAGTATCCCTGACCCCACCCTCACAACAGTGACCAAGTGCTTCTTTTGTCTACATCCTAGGAGGACCCCATGACAAATGGGGACCATCTTTATCTCTGGGACCTAGCCAGCTGCATTCTGCCACTACCTGCCCATGTGCTGTGCTCTATTGATCCTGAGGACTGAGGATGGCCACTCTCACTCACCACAGTGACTGACCCCAGCTCACTTCCCCAGCCCCTCATCTGGATTCAGCCGTTGGTGTCAGTGGAGCCACCCCACGTGCCCTTCTCTCTAGCTCCCGTCATGGGTGTATTTTAGGTTTTGCTGCATTATAGAATGGATCAGAGATTCATTTTTTATGGTGTGGGGGGGGGTGGCTTCCAGACTGGGTTTCTCTGTGTAACCCTGGCTGTCCTAGAGGTCGCTCTGTAGACCAGGCTGGCCTCGAACTCAAAGATTTTTCTTCCTCTGCCTCCGGAAAGTGGGATTAAAGGTGTGTGTGCCACTGCCCACCTGGCTGCAGCCAGTGTCCTTAACCACTGATCCATCCTTCCATTTCCCAAAGCCTCACTGTTTTCCACGGCCAAGTCATATGTCATTGAGGAAGGTGCAGGGCCTGAAGGAGGGTGCACCGCCACCCTCCACACCCTTTGGTGCACAGCCTTGTACTAAGTACCTTCCCAGCCACTCTCAGGCTGCATGGAGAAAACCCAGATTCTGGAAGCTTCTCTGGGTAAGGTGAGGCACACGAATAGGTGGTAAAGAGTGTCGCCTTCCCAGAAGCCTGGCGAGAGCTATGGGCAGTCCTCCATTTGAAGCTCCACGATGTAGTGATAGATAGTTCATTTGTGTTTTAATAAAGAAAGACTGCCTGAGGAGCAGAGAGTAAAACAGCCCCACTGGTCAGCCTTACAGACCAGGCAGCGGTGACACAACCCTTTAATCCCAGCCCTAGAGAGAAATGTAAGACAGGAGGAGGCAGCTCTCAGACACAGTCTCATTCTGAGATCCCTGGAGGCAGGATCGCCATTTCAGACTGAGGGAGAGATCAGAGCCAGTGGCTGACTGCTTTGCTTTTCTGACCTTGAGGTTGAGCCCCGATGTCTGTCTCTGTTTTTACTAATCACCACAGTCCCTGTGAGCCCTGCCGATCCTAAGTTCTCTTGGCCTCTGAAGGAGAACTCAGTGAGATAGAATTCCTCAGGAAAACTGGCTCAAGGAAGGGAGATCTGAGAAGAGCCATGCAAACAAGATGCAAAACATATACAAATTAGGTGAATCGTGCAAATTATATGCAATATCGCAGAAGAGGGAGAAGGGAGCTGCTTAGCAAATACTCTAAATGTGAACGAAGAACTGCATCCCGTCTGAAATCCACTCAGGGACCTCCTCAGGTTGCACAGACCTTGGGGTCTCCAGGCTTCCAGGCTGTAGACAGAGCGCCCTCTGGTGGATGGAAGTAGGACAGCAGCTGACCTATCACCTCTCAATTCCCCAACCATGCATGGTCCGACCTCCCCAGAGGATCCCCTCAGGTAAAACCTCTGACCTATACTCCCAAGCCTCAGGTTGTTTGGGGTGATAATAAACAGGAAGGGCCAAAGTTCAGGGGTCCCCACCTCTCTTCCTCTACCAAATTTTTTGGCTTGTTACACAAGAACTCATGCCTCCAGCTCTTCACTGGGGGATCTAGGCAGAGACCTGAAGAGGCAAGGGTCTCTAACAGTGCTGCTGGGGAAACTCAGCAAGAATGAGTAGGGAGAGGACCTGGGGCTTACTGGAGGGGGTAGGTTTTACCTTCAAGAATTTCTATTATGGCCGGCGGTGGGGGCACACGCCTTTAATCCCAGCACTCGGGAGGCAGAGGCAGGCAGATCTCTATGAGCTCAAGGCCAGCCTGGTCTACAAGAGTTAGTTCCAGGACAGGCTTCAAAGCTACAGAGAAACCCTGTCTCGAAAAGCAAACAAAAACAAAAAATTTCCACGATGACCATCGTGAATGCATTCAAGCCCCCTGCTGTGGCTGAAGGGAGTGGGGGGGAGCCTTGGTGACCAAGCAGCAGAGGCCTTGGGGACCTCACAGGCTTAGGCTGCAGTTATGTCTTTAACCACAAGGGGGAGGAGTCAACCCAAAAAAACGAAATCCAGTCGCCAGACTCCAGGAATAATCTCAAGACTGGAAGGAAACCCTCTGAGCCTCAGTTTCCCTATCTGTGAGGTGGGGAGGTCACAGGAACAGCCTTCCTGGAGAGGCCAGTGAGCGGAAGCCAGGAAAATGGTTTCAGTATCCAATACACAGATAACTGTAAAGCATGACTGTTGGGCAGAGCCCGAAGGGGCTGAGAACTAGCAGAGACTCAGGTGTTGGAGGGGAGGGTGGAAGCAAGGAGGTGGAACTGCCCTTCAGGCCGTAGGGTCAGCAAGCCAGCACTTTCTGAGGAAAGGGGACTCGGGCCACAAAGCAGAGCCATGCAAGCAGATGGGGCCGGGGCGAGAGTGGGCTGCTGCGTCCTGTTCTCTCAGACCCGCAGGTCGCCAGTACCAGGCCTGCCGCTGCCGCCGCCGCCCTGCCCTGCAGCAGGTGGCCTGCCAGCGACATTCCTCAGTGCCCCGCCAGGCAGCCACTGGGCCTGGCCGCGTGGGCCTCGTATTTTTCCAAGAGCTTCTTCAGCCACAGCCTGACCACAACCTAGATTCCGTAGGACTAGCCACTTTATGTTTGTGTTCAGCCGGCCAGACAGTAGCAGGGCCAGGCCAGAGCCGGGGCCGGGGCCTCCCAGAAGGTCTGGCTGCCCAGCCTGAGGCAGGCTCTCCTGTCAAGAGAAGCCCTTGTTGGAGCTACTCAGCTGTTATTCCTGCTCTTTGTTGCTTTGGTTTGGAGACTGGGTCCCTCTATGTAGCTCTGACTGGCTTCAAATTCATTACAATAGCTGAGGGTGACAGAGAATTCCTGATCCTTCTGCCTCTGCCTCTCAAGTGCTGGGCTTGGCTTTTAAACCTTGGAGTCATTTTGGGATGGGTGCGAGCTGCTGCTGAGCCCACATGTCTGTGAGACCCGTTTCTGTGTCCCAGCTGCCCCAGCCTCAATCTCACCTTTAATCCCACACCGGTGATGTTGAAGCAGGGGCCTCTCAAGCTCCAGGACAATCTAGCTATATACAAAACCCTGTCTCAGTTGACATCAGGCGTGCTGTGAACATCTTATGTTCAAATGTTGGCAAAGTCTAACCCAATGAGTGCCACCCTGAGAAGTGAGGTCACAGCTGTGTACCCCTGGAGTTTCTGTTGAGCATGACTTTGCCTCATGCTCCAAACTTGACGCTCCCAGGGGCAGAAACAAAGCCATGGCTCAGAGTTCACCTCTGCCCCGACTCCTGTGCTTGAGACCCTCACAAACAAAAGGAAAACTGAAGTCAAGACTTCTGAGTCCAGTCTGGAAAATTATTCACCCTTGAAAGCCCAGAATGAAAACTCCCTGTCCTCCAGACCCTGGCCCTACAAGGAGCTTTTGTGCCTGTTTTGCCTTGACTTTCTGACTCGGGTTCCTAGGTTTGCTGTAGCTGTCTTGGGAGGAGGGTGTGCCCTGTGTGTACCTGTGTTCTGCACGGGATCCTCACAAGACGGTGGGCTAAGCTGTGCATTTCATGAAAAGGACTGGGAGAGCCTGGCCCTTTGGGGGTTCATGTCTCCAGAAACCCGCAGGCAGGAAGAGGGAGTGGGAGCTGTGGCCTCCCCTCTGCCTGGCTCAGCCGTGCTCCAGCACTGTCTGGGGCCAGGCAGCCTTGAGGACATAACTGAGGTCTGGCGGTGCTGCCTGCTCCAGGGCTGAGTCAGCAAAGGGAGGGAGGGACTCGGGCCTCTACTGCAAAAGCAGCTGGGAGCTTGAAGGTCTGGGGTTCCCCTAGCCCACTCTGTTCTTGGGCTTCGGGGGGGGGGGGATGTACCCAGGGCACTCAGCTGTGGGCAGATCTGGAGATCCTGAGCTACGAGTCCAGCATCCTAGGCTGAGGTGATTGTGGGGGCACAGACACAGGTGGGTATGGTGTGGCCTCGGGGCATGGGGCTCCATAAAGGTGACAGTGCCCTGCCTAGTGCATCCTGGTCCCAGGATGATGGACACCAGCTAGGTGTCCAGAAGGTGCTGCGGGAAAAAAGAAGGGATATCTGACTGTAAGAGACAGAGATAGGGTGTGGCCAGGAAACCCTGACCTCAGGCCCAAGGATGGGCAGGCATGTTGGCTCTGACTGACACAGTGGCCCTGGGTGAGGCCATGTCTGTCTCCCCATGTCTATGTCCAACAGCTCCAAGTCCCCTCTCCCCATGCTGATCTCCTCAGCCTGGTCTCTGTTCCCACCCCAAGACCCCATCCCACAGAGGTGCCATGTATCCCCCACTAGCAGGAGTCACTGCCTGCCAGGCCAGCTTCAGTCCTTGGGGTCTGAGACCAGCACAGCCCCATCCCTGAGGCTGATGAGAGAGACAGACAGTGGGGAAGTGGTGGGTGGCCACGCCAGGAAAGCCAGGGATGTTCTGCCAGGACTGAGCTGTGGAGAGGGGGTGCCGGACCATGTGGAGAGAACAGACCTCAGTGCCACCAGAGAGGCAGGTCTTAGAAGCAGTGCTCGTGGGAGCTGTAGGGGAGTGGAGGTCTGTCCTGAGAAATTGTGTAACTTAGGCTGGGGCACCAACGGGAGAATATGAGGTCAATCCCTGAGACCCACATGAAGGAGGAAAGAGAAAACCAATTCCACAAAGTTGTCCTCTGACTCCA